GGTGCAGGATCTTGACAGCTGGGGAGGCTGTGTATATGTGGGGTCAGGGGTATATGGGAAACCTTTATATATCTTGTGCATAATTTTGCTATGAACCTAAAACCACTCTAAAAATGAAGTTTTGTTGTTTTTGTATTTAGAGAATGAGGTAGAGATAGCTGTGCAGACATGGAACTTTCTCTGGAAATGGAAAATCACAAGTCATTACATAAAGGATCGTCTCATGTGTGCCTTGAAATGTTATCCATACTCACCTGGACCTGACAGGGACACAAAAAAACAAGGCAGAAGGACACATACAGAGGTTTTGCTGGAGTCATTTCTGGAAGGGGTTGTGGAGGGAGCACAGAACTGAAGAAGCAGAGGGGATTTTTCTTACATGCTCCTGCATGGCTCAAGTCTTTAAAAATATGTTTGTATTTTAATCTTTTGAGAATATACTTACATATTACTTACAAGTGTTTTTGAAATAATTATATATGCTTATTACATTTTTTAAAACTTAGAAAGTATGTATATAATTCAGAAATTTTGTGTGTTTTCTTGCAGTTTTGTTGGTATTGGTTTTTGAGTTTTTTCTTTGTCGTAGACAAGTTCTCACTGGGTCACAGTTTTGTTTCCAGCTTTTTAAGAACTTGGCTATGAGAACCTTTCAATGTCATTATAAGTTTTTTTAACACAATTCTTTTGACTGCATAATTGTAACACATCCGTACTGTGAAACACTGACAGCATTTCTCTTCATTTGGAGGTAACTATATCGTTCCCATCTTTTGGTGCAAGGGTATCTTTAGAGCATTCATTGTTTCTGATCAGTTCCTAGTTAGAATGTTGCCTTTCATTAAAAATGTAAATTTTGAAGTTGTAGATGTTCTAACAAAACTTTATATAAAAATATAAAGCAAATTCTTTTTAAGCATAGACAACTATAGACCCTGCTTTTCTATAATGTAATAATTAATTTTAATAAAGGGTGACCAGCATAGTTGTTCTAGCCGTCACTGTCTTCCTCATTCTCTGTCCTTTAATAGCCTTCCCGTCCTATGAAAACCTGGTGTTCTCTCCCTGATGCTTTGAAATTTCTTTATTTCTAAAAAAAGAGCAAATGGGAAATCTAACACAGCCAGCTCAAATCAACCTTTCTGTTTCTTTTATGAATAGGCAGTTTCTCCAGGCAGTGAATTACCCTTTAGAAAAGATGGGCATTGTGTTTCTCCACCATGAATGTCTGGAATAGGTGGCCTGGAATGCATTCAAAGAGAAGCATGGTGTCAGATCCCAAATCTAAAGGTGAAATCCTGGTTTTTACTGATTATAAGTAGTTTTTGTTGTTTCGCAGCTGCTGCTTTTCTGAGTTACTAGATTTTGAAAAATTACTATTTGCTTAGTGAAAGTTGGGAATGGACTTACTGATGCTGGTATATTGTTGGTTCTGGTTTCATATTATAGAACTCTGCCAGAAAAGTTTGGTCTTCAAAGCTCTATGGTAGGGCCAGGAATTTAGCTCCTCACCCTTCAAAATTTACATTTTTAATGAAAGCACCATCCCCAGTACCCAAAAAAAAAAACCCAAAAAACAAAAAAAGCCCTATGGTGCATACCTTTGTAAAACGCAAGGAGAGGGCTGGGGATTTAGCTCAGTGCATTAAGCACCTGCCTGCAAGCGGGAGGTTGTGAGTTCAATCCCCAGTACCTAAATAAATAAATAAATAAAATAAAACAGGGAACCACCTCATTTTTATTTTTGCAAATGTAGATTTTTGTGTATTTCTAAATAGAAATATTACTGCACCAGTTTAGGCTACACTATTTATTATTCATTTTTAACTTAATGAACTAGTTTCCCACATATTAGTATCATGTGTATTTTAGTTGGATTTGTTACTGCAAGGAAATATGTGTCTGTTTACATCAGTAGTTCTACAACCAGCATGATTTGAAATCACTAGGGAACATGTCAGAAATTCAGATTCTAGGGCCTTATCCTACTTCTATTCAAAAACTCCTGTATTTTAGCAAGCCTCTTGAGTTACCTTGATACACACCAAACTTCAGGGACTACTTCAGGGACTGGGACATGTGATGGGTATAGGTTTATATCTAGTTGTCCCCCCCAAAACCTCATGTACTCATAGGTGGGACTTTGGGGAGTGACTGGATCATGAGTATGATACTGAATGAGCCTCCTGTTTGGTTTAGCATCATTCTGGGTGTGGATGAGGGATTTATTGAAGAGGAAGACCCACCAACCAATAGACTTGCAGCCTAGATAGAATAAAAAGGGAAAGAAAGAAGGCTAACTACTTCCTGCCTGCTGTGCCATGTCATGAAGTGTTTCTCCCCTGCCCCAGTGTCAGTTGACTATGCGTTGAAGCATCTACAAATTATGACCTAAAATAAACCTTCCCTTCTTTAAATTGTGGTTGTCAGTTATTTGTCCCAGAGACACTATGAGAAACTAAGACTCTGAGGTTCAAAATGTCGGCATTTTTGCCAGGGGCCTGGGTTTGGTTTAATTCTGTGTGCATATTTGAGATGATAGCAGTAGTGCTTCTAATAGTTGTGAAGATGAAAAACTGATAGTAAGAGCCGCCTAACAAGAGCTGCTTTCATTGTTTCCAGTGGTGAGATCTCAAGAAGTAAGCAGTGAGCCAAGACTCTTTCACTGTTGAGTCAAAGCAAACAGTTTCAGCACTTAAGATAATTAGCAGGAGGTTTTACTTTGATAATATCATTTGTACCTCCCTCTTATTAAGAAGTGTGCATGGCAACTCATGCATTTAGGACTTCACATTCAAAATATGTAAAATTATTTTCAGAATTAAGAAATTCTTGAACTCTTTAAATGCTTTCAAATTATAAATAAGACATTCAATACCTGAAAAACACTTCATTAGTAGGATTAAGATACATATCTCCCAGCTGTTGGTTTTATTTTATATAATACCTTTTTGGCTCTGTCTGGTTGTTTTAAAACCTTTTTCATATAAAATAATGTGTGTGCTTTAGTTGGAAAAAATCCTTTACTTCTAAGTTTAAATGTTGCATTCATTTTAAAAATATTTCAGGTAAATCCTTCAAGATAGAATATTAACTTTTTAAGCGTGGATTTCTTTTATAAATAGGAACAGTTATTATAAAGTAAATCTACATGCTAAACTTAGGGTTTTAATGCTTACGTTGACTCTTAAGTCTAAATCAAGTTTTTGTTTTGTTTTTTAATGATTATTTATTTTACGAAAATAGTTACAGTCAAAAAGAGATACAGCTGGTTTGGTGATGGTGTCTCCTGGGCATAACTGATGGATCTGGTTTGTGCTATGTATTAGAGTCAGCAACTAAAGAACTAGCAACAGAAAGTCTACAACATTCTCTATATATATTGGGAAGGGTAAGGATCTCAAGACCAAGGTAAAGTTACCAAATTTTTAAAGGAAGGATTTCCTAATTTGGAGCAAAAATCTAAGTATTATTCACTTTACCTCTTTTACTAATTATATCATAAAATTTCAATTTCTTAATAGAAATTAAATTCATTCTATCATTAAATTCCTTATTTCCTAAATGTTTATAACTCAAGATGAGGAAGCTGTAGAACAGATAATTTAAGGAGGTTCTAATCCGATCAAGAGTGGAGTTTCTGACTAGTTTATAGCAAAAATAGAGAATTTATTGCTCAGAATTTCCTGGGATGTAGTCACACACCCAAGTGAGATTAATAAAATCAAGACAGGGATTCAGTTCTGACCTCAGCCCGTCTTTCACGGTGCAGACCTTGTCATCTGGTGGATGTTTCATATCTGTAGTCTCTTTATGCTAGTATTATTTAATCCATTTCCACATATAATTTGTCTACTTTCTAAGTTAACAAAAATACTTTAACTGAGAGTTTTAAGTTACATAAAATAGGCAGAAGGCTGAAAGTTTTTTTCTTTTGAGTGGAGTATATGAAGTATGCAGTTCTTTTTTTTTTAAATCAGTACGGAGGATAAAGTTAGGCCTTGTGGTGCACATTGTAACCCCTGCACTCTGGACCTCTGACGCAAGAGGAACAAAAGTTTGAGCCCAGCCCGGGCAATTTAGTCTTAAAAATACAAAAGGGTTGCCAAGCATGGTGGCACACGCCTGTAATCCTAGCACTCAGGAGGCTGAGGCAAGAGAATTGTTGCTTGTTGGAGACCAGCCTGGGCTACAAAGTGAAATCAAGGCCAGCCTGAACTGCATAGAGAGACCCTATCTCAAAAAAAAAGGGAATAGGGTGGGGTGTAGCTTGGTGCAGAGTTCCCTAAGTTTAGTCCCTGGTACAGGCAAGGAAGAAAGAGAGGGAGGGAAGTAAAAGAAACAGTCTAGCATTTTAGAAAGAGTTTAGTCAAAGGTAAATGAAATTTGAGGAGAGAATTCATATAAATTAGAATTTCATGTATTTTTTTGCAGTGCTAGAGGTCAAACCCATGGTCTTCCCTATTACAGACAAGTGACCTACCTCTTAGCCACATATGCCTCCAGCCCTTTGTATTTCTCACTTTGAAACAAGTCTTCCTAAATCTCCATACTGCTTAGGCTGGCTTTCAATTTGCAATCCTCTTGTCTGCTCTAGAGCTGAGATTACAGGCATGCACCACCATGCCCTGCCTAAGGTGAGAAGCTTAATAAATGAACACTTTCAAGAGAAGATTGAAGACTTCATTTGTCTTCTTGGATAAGAAAAATGTTCCAAAGTTTTTCAGTCTACTCCAATAACTCATTGTCCTTGGATGTTTGCTTGTTTTGTTTTTTCAAATTAAAAAATTAGTTCCTGGTTTAGTCTGATTTGTGTGTGTGTGTGTGTGTGTGTGTGTGTGTGTGTGAGGGGGAGAGAGAGAGAGGAAGAGAGCGCATATGTGTGTGTAAACATGTGTAATACAGAGCTGAGCATAAGACAAATTCTGTTTTGTCTTTATAAACTCCATATCAACAGAGTTCATCTCAGCAAGCCATTTTATTTGTTTTTGATTCTCTAGTTGTCTGAAGGAAGCCAGAAACATGCAAACCTACAGAAAAGCATTGAAAAAGCAAAAATTGGCCGACACGAGACGGTAAGTTTGCCTGTAGATACTTAATAATGGCAATTCTAAACAGCCACGCAGAGCACTGGGCCTCCCGTGAGGCTGGTGCCTCTGTCACAGCAGAGGACCCAGCACGTGAATTTTTGATCTGGTGGGGGTACCAGTTGTGAATCCAGATTTTGCCAAGAGGGTGCTGGAGATTGAGAGCCTTGGGCACAGTGTGTGCCTATGTGCATGCATGCATGTGTATACACACATACGCGAAGAGCACTGAATCATAAACCCAGGTGTCAGACAATTGAAGTTTTTGATTTCGTTGGTTGTAAAGTGTGGAATAATAAAATCTACTTCACTGTATTAAACTAGTTAATATTTGCAAAGCATTTAGGAGATGATCTGTTACATATAGCTCTATTAAATATTTACATTTTTAAAGAGCTTTTGACACATAAACTATAAATGATCCACATAGCATCCTTGGACCTTGTAATATTTTCTATTTAAATGAGTGCTGACTTATTTTGTTTAGTACAAAGTGTTTTAAAGTATTATGTTAAAGATTATTAAAAATCACTTTCTGCTGTCATCATTACCTCAAGATGGATTTGTAAAATACTTCTAAGATACTGAAAATCAACATGAACCACTAAGCTTTTCACCTAGACCTCTGCATCCCTTGATTGTGGAAGAAAGGGACCTGAACTCTCGTGGCACTACAGCAAGGAATATTTCAAGGGTTACGATGGCTTTGTTGGTGGTCAGCCTACTTGCAGGTAGACTTAGAGAATGGTCCTTTCTGTAGCATATTTAAGGGAAATTGAATTCGGGTCATAGCCCAAATCTGTTATAATTTCTTCACTAACTGTCATAATTATCACTTCCTTATCTGGCCCTCATTCTTGTTTGATGCTGGCAATAACTTACAGACGCACCTTCTGCAGACAGTGCTGTACGCTTGCCCAGAAGTTGTCAGCCAAGCCACTGAGTGTCATTCCATCCACCGGAACAACACAGCTAGGGGAAAACCAAGCAACAAAGCTAATTGGAACCTTTGGCTGTCAGAGGGAGGTAGTAATTTGGAAAAGCCCATGAAAAGGTGAAATCTTGCCAGCCAGTATGTTTCCAAAAATACCTGCCTCTCCACCAGGAATTGTCCCTTGCAATGTGGTGACACTTCTGAAAAAACAGCTGGCAGGGAGGGACGTGGTGCTCACGATGATCCACGTGAAAGGATTCCTAAATCCTTTTCACTTATTTATTAAATCCTGTTGCCGCTCTAAGGAGACCTACTGTGTGCGTCTTACATTTGGGGACTAGAGGCACAAAGGCATTCAGTTACTTTGCTGATGGCACCGATTCAGAGCGTCTGGGAGCTGTCCCCCTGCTTCTCCTGCCATCCTTAGCTTCTGCTCTTCTCCCTCTGAAGGTTGTATGGTTCAATGTCACTGTCTTATAGCCTGGTTACTTTTAAATCTATGCTGTGCTAATATGGTACGTACAAACCTTATGCAGCTGTTTACATTAAGGTGCAATTAAATTTGGTTTCTTGGTTTCCAAAGCCCCAGTTCATATACTCAGCAGGCACATACTTAGAGTGCAGCCCTAGAACATTTCTGTCATTGCAGAGAACTGTGTTGGCCCTTATTTCTCAAAACACGCTGCTCTGTGTATGCTTTATCTTCTGTAAAAGCCAGCAAAGAGAACTTTTCTTCACTTTGGAGCCCAAAGGAACAGCCAATGGCAAATTAGAAAAGTTTAATACACAAATACAAGATAACGAGGATCTTACGTCACATTTGGACCACTAGGGCTTCGATTTTTGTCTCAGGTTTTTCCTACAGTCAAAGGATGCAGAGACCATGGTGAAAAGCTTAGTGGTTCATGCTGATTTTCAATAGCTTAAAAGTATTTTTATAAATCCATTCTTGAGGTGGGTGTGGTGATACACTCCTGTAATCCCAGCACTCAGGCTGAGGCAGGAGGATGTTTCAAGTTTGAGACCAGCCTGGGCTACAAAGAGATCCCAAGGTCAGCCTGAACTGCACAGCAAGACCCTGTGTCAAAAAGACAAAAAACAAAAACAAATCCATCCTAAAAGTAATGATGACAGTAGAAAATCTTCATATACTTAAAAACATGTTACACTTTTAAAAATGAAACAAGTCAATACTCATTTAAATAGAAAATATGACAAAATACTATGTGAATAATTTACAGTTTATGTGTCAGAAATGTAGAAGACTCTAAAAAGTGTAAATATTTAATAGGGCTTACTGTGTACCAGATCTTTGTCAGCACTTGATTTTTGTTTGGATTTGGGTTTTGGGTTTCACAAGTATCAGTTGAATACCCCTGGTCCTATGACTTTAACCTGTTAGGGAGAGCTACAGCTACAAAATTCAAGGAGTGTTTATTGGATCATAATCCTCAAGCTACAATTGTGTTTATTCTGATGTCTTTAATTAAAAATTAATCATCCTTTAAGTTTGAAAAATTATCTGGAACAATTTTTCAAGAAGGATTGCCATAAACTATTACTTACAATAATAAGCACAGTTGTCTGCATTGGTGGTGTAGTGGCGAGCAGAACTGCCTTCCAAAAATAAACACAATCCTGTGAAGTTATTCAAAAAGCAGTGTAATTGCTTTTTCTGGTCTACAGCCACACAGTCATCTTTGAATTCATTCAGGCGTAACTGTTAACCTCTCATCTGCTGATGAACATCCCCTTCTACATCTTTATTCCCAGTTTTCTACATGCATAGAAGATGCTTAAGGTTTCAAAGAAAGATAAGCATTGAGCTTGTTTCTACACCATCCGTATGTGTTTGTAGTCATCTTCGGGCCCCACATGGATGGGTTGAGGACCTTGGTTTTAGGACCTTTTGGGTCAGTGTGTGGATGCCTCGGTCTCTTATTAGCAGGGCAGTATTTACAGATGACCTTTGCATACCCCTTCATATACCTTTCTCCATTACTGAGGATTAATCCCAGAGCCTTCACCTAGAGCTAAACCCAGGCCTTTTCTTAAGACAGGTTCACTGGACTTGAGCCTTAGCTTACCAGCATGCCGGGATTATAGTAGTGTGCCAACACTTCTTGCTCCTCTTAAGCTTCAAACTGTCTCTAGGTCATGCATGATGGCCCATGCCTGTAATCTCAGCACTTGGGAGGCTGAGACAGGAGGATCGTTGGAAGTTCAAGACCAGCCTGAACTGCATAGTGAGACCTGTCTCAAAAACAAAAAAGCTTTAGAACATCTCTAGGTTATTTATAATACCTAATAAAATGTAAATATAAATGCCATGTATATAGTTGTCATACTGTGTCATTTAGGAAAGAATAAAAGGGTATATGTTAAGCATAGATGTGAGTTTTATTTTTGAGTGTTTTCAATCCATGGTTGGTTGAATCTGTGAATGCTGAATCTGTCGCTACAGAGAGCCAACTGTACAGATAGTACATTAATGTAGAAAGCCTAATAAATATCACTGATAGAAAATAAAGTGTTTATAAAGTGTTTTGCTTTGTAACATAAGGGATTTTGTCTGTCCTAATGGTACATAAAATTATTTTAAATTTAGGAAGAACGAACCAGGCTAGCCAAAGAGCTTTCTTCACTTCGAGACCAAAGAGAACAGCTTAAAGCAGAACTAGAAAAATACAAAGATTGTGACCCGCAAGTTGTGGAAGAAATACGTAAGTTTGTACTGCAGTTTGAGTGGCTTAACAGGCAGGCAGTGAACAAGGTTTTGCATTTTTATTGTAGGGTAAGCACAAAAGAAAGGCAGTTAAAATAGTGTCGTTTCCTCTGTGCTCTAACTTTGCATTTGTAGCATAATGGGAAAATAATGTCCAATTTCCAGTAAACAGACTTAATATTTAAGGATGTAATAATGACAGCTGTGAAAGTAAGCATTTCAAAAGTAAAGAAAGTGAATGAGATCAAAGGATAACGACATATAATATAAACTTAGGAAACTGAGAAGTAGAGAAGGAGTTGATTGTGCCCAGCTGTTTGAATTCTAGAAAGAAATTCACCATTATCTTTAGGAAAGAAAAAAAAAATACCATAAATAATAAGAGTTTGCAAGTTGCAAAATTTCACTCTATACACTGAATTATCTTTTGAAAATACAAGTGATTTTCCGCCCTATTTTAAATGAGTTCCCAACTCTTAAAATTTTTATATGCTTGAATATAAAGCATATAATGTGGGAAATGTGAGCACTTGAGGAAATTATTCTATAAATATGTAGCATTTAGTTGCTTATAAAAATATGTGTGATTTTCTTCAACTGTTTCTACCTTAGCCTGCCTCTTATTTAGGGACATTCACCTAGTGAAATGTTTAGAAAAACTGATATTATAGAGTGAGGTTGAAGGCTTTGACAGAAATTTAAAATATTTAGTACTTTAAATCCCTGAGGAGGCAGCTGAGGAATTTAGCTCAGCCGTATAAGTGCCTGCCTTGAAAGGGCGTGGTCCTGAGTTGGATCCGTGGTACCAAAATAAAATAAAATGAAATGGGGCTGGGGATTTAACTCAGTGGCATATGCGCCTGTCTGGCAAGGTAGTGAGTTCAATCCCCGGTACCAAAAAAGAAAAGAAATGTACCAAGGGCTGGGGATTTAGCTCAGCAACACAGGCGCCTGCCTGGCAAGCACCAGGTCCTCAATTCGACCCCCCGTGCCAAATGAATGAATGGACCTGAGAACTGACTGGTCACAGTTCAGCTGGGCTAGCCCGTGGTAGTTAGAATTTGGAAAAGCATAAGCTGGACCATTAGCGTGGCGCTACAGTGAGGCTTTACCACGAGACAGCCCCCTCTTTGCTGACCCCTAGGAGACCCCGTCCGTGTGTGGGGAGTGCAAGCCCAGCCGTGACACGGGGGCCAAGTGAGCTGATCACCTGGGTGACTTCCACAGAGAGGTGGCACAGGACCCCCGAGCCAGCCATTCTCTTTAAATTAAATACTCAGGGAGAAACGTCCTTGATGCTGCCCACCGAAACATCTGTCACCGCCCTGTGGCACTGCTTTCCTAATCTGGGTCAGCGGTGATACCGCTGTAACCCGGGTGAGCTCGCTGCACAGGAGGGCTTGCGGGGCAGGCAGGAAAGGCCGCACCAGGCGTCAGCTGTGTGCAGGTGCTGGTCTTGCAGAGGAGCCCTTCGGGTCGGGTCCCATTGGGCCTTGATGTTCTCGGGTGACTGGCAGGATCAGAACGGCTGTGCCCACCAACAGTTCATGACAAGCCCAAGTTTACACTGTCACTAAATCGGGTCCTTCTTGTATTAGTCTTTGTGTGCCTTCCTTGTGTTTTGCTTTTGTTATTTGGTTGGTTTGGCTTTTGTTGTTCTGGTTTGATTTGGTTTCAGTTTTTTGAGGTAGGATCTTGGTAGCCTACGCTTGAACTTGTGACCCTCTGCCTCAGCCTCCCAGCTGCTAGGATTGCAGGCATCCACCATCCTTGGCTTGCCTCCCTTCTTGATTGAAGTTTTGTGTAACCTTTGTACTATTTCCTTGGATTAGCACCTCTGCTTCCTGGTCGCATTCCCTTTATGGTTCATTCCTACAACTCTGGTCCCCATTGAGCTGCCTTAGATGTTTCCGTGAGCCAGTGGCCCCGCCAACCTCACCTCCATCTGTGACTTTCCAGTTTCACGGCCCCTTTCAAAAGAACATTGCTGCTCTCTGTCCACTGGGCCATCTGAAGGCTTGGGATAGGGACAGAAATAGGGACAGAGAATTAATTCTGCAAGCCTGATTTGCTGAGCAGGGAAACTTACATCACACCTATAACTTAAGATATTGCCATTCTTGTATCACCTCAGGGAAAGGTAATAAAACCTGAAAGAAGACATTTCAGGACCTGCAGAAGATTTTATGAAGTACAGAGGAGGCCTCTGGGGAAGAATTGAAACTTACACAGTTGCCCAAACTCTGGTACCATCTTACAACCCAAAACATGCCAACACAAATGGTACTAGGCAGGCTATGAGGACCATGTAAGTGGAAAGAAAAATTTCCTAATTTTCACTGAATCAAGAGACTTTTATCATTCTGCGCTGGTGTTAGACCTAGTTTGGTTTGGTTTGGCATTTGGGTTTTGTGAGACAAAGAAACAGGCTTACTCTGTAGCTCAGGCTGGCCTTGGACTCCCTGTGGAGCTTGGCAGTGATCCTTCTGCTCAGCCTCTGCATCGTGAAATTAGAAAATTTTACTTTTCACTTACTTAGTCCTTGTGTCCTGCATAAATCTCATTCATATTGGTATGTTTTCTTTGATTTGGGAAGGAAATTGTCCAGCTTTTAAATTCATGGGTTAAGATGGTACCAGAGTTTGGACAGCAGTTGATATGAATTTAAGTTGCACGATTGACAGGCATGTATCACCACACCTAGCAAGACTTGGGTTTCCTTTTAATATTTGTGTGCTTACATAAAGTTGGATCTGTACAGTATTTGGATCCTGAAAAATTTTTAATGATGAATCTGTTAGAGAAAATGACTTTTTATTTGGAAAGGATTAGATGAGGGTCTTTACTTACTGGCTTTGTACAACTTTTTTTTTACTCTATTAAAGAATATATTTTATGTATGTTAATTATAGAAAAACATAACATTTTATACACAGCAGATATGTAGAATAATGACATTATTCCATAAATGTAGTGTAGATGTGTGCCAAGGAGCTCTTTCACATGAAAAGAGACTGAAGATAGGCTGGGAACGCAGGTCAGTGGTAGAACACCAGGGGTTCAGTTCCCAGCACCACCAAAACAAGAGTCACTAAACTGCTCTTAACAGGAAAAAAAAAATCTGTCAGTCTATACATCTGTGAAAAGAAAAATTTTTTTTTCCAGGTCCCAGGGATTGAACTCATGACCTTGCCTTTGCCAGGCAGGCGCTTGTGCTGCTGAGCTAAATCTCTGGCCCAAGAAACTTTTTTATTTTATTTATTTATTTATTTATTTTTGATAGTGCTGGGATCAAACGTGGGACCTCACCCTTGCCAGGCAGGCGCTTAGGGCACTGAGCTAAATTCCCAGCCCCTGTGAAAGAATGTTTAGCCTAACTCCAGTTCCTATTTTACAGAGGAATGGCCAGTTTATCTGCTCTGAACTTTAGGACAGAAGCATAAAACTCCAAATACGGAACTTCTGCCAGTCAGTATGGAGGGTGGGGGTTGGATGTAGTCTCTCTGTTTAAAATCAAGCCAGTCAGTAGAGCTGTGGTTTTATGTCAAGATGTTTTACATCAGTGACAGACAGTGATTCCCACAGAAAGCACGCAGCCAAAGTCAGCCTTGTACTTGTCCCCTCTGTGTTTTTGAGAGGTTCCTGGCCACAGCACAGGCAGGGGTCCCAGGCAGAACCCCGCTCCAGGACAGCATGCTGGAGGAGTTAGGGCACCCAGAAAAGCCCTGGATATGTCCAGTGGCGTCCCCCACAAAGCTGGGGCAAAGCCACGGTGGGATTCACCATCCAGACAAGGAGTATGTTTGAGCAAGGAGAGTATTAGAGAGTGCCCCAAAATCTTGCCTTATAGGAAGGGAGTGAATAGCTGTAGACTGAACTCTTCTCTGACCTGCTTGCCAAGCCATGTGACCAAGACTTGAAAGTGTCTAATCACCAAGTAATGTAATCTCAGAACATCTCAGAACAAAGCTCACAGACATTTATAAGGTACAAGAAACGCTAGTGTTCAATGAAATAATACTTGTTATTTCTGGCATACAGTGATTACTATCAGGCATGCAGAAAAGGAGGAAAATACGATTGAAACTGAATTTCAGAACTGGCCAGAAAATTAAAATTAGGCCAAGATATTAAAACAGTTATGACTATACTCCATCCGTTCAAAAAGTTAAGTAGAGAAATGGAAGCACTAAATGTCAAATGTCTTGATAAAACTATGACGTTTGACATGAAAGGTACACTGGTTTGAAATAGCAGGGGATTAAATTTTGCAGAAAGGCTGTTATATTCAAAGACATACTAAGAAAAGAAAAACTATCCAAAATGAAACAAAAAAATTTTAACATGAAAATATCTTACCTGATGCGGTGGTGTGTGCTTGTAACTGTAGCTCTGTGGGAGGCTGAGGCAGGAAAATCATAAATTCCAGGCCAGCTTAGTCAAATTAGTGATTTAACAAGACCCTGTCTCAAAATAAGAAGTATGAAGGGTCTGGGTGTGTAACTCAGTGCAAAGGCTTATTCTCTGACTGTTTGTGTCTGTCTGTCTGTCTGTCTGTCTCTGTCTGTCTCTCTCTCTCTCTCTCTCTCTCTCTCTTTCTCTCTCTCACACACACACACACACAAAACACCTACACACAGCCATTTGTGACCTGTAACACACTATAGAGAGAGACAGAGACTGAGACTCAAAGAAAATTTGGGGCAGGGACTTTGCTGGGCTAGAAAAATACCTGAAGAGATAAAAGCTAATTTGGTACAAACCTAGTGACAGCTACAAATCTAAGAAACTTAAATATTTAGTAGAGTCCAGAGATCCCTTTTTTACTAAGTTGAGAGAACTTTAACTGTTTATCCCCCAAAACCCTTTTCTTCAATGAAATCATTGTTTTCAAATGTGCTTTTATTTTTTAATGAGGGATTTCATAGGATTTTAGCTATCATGTTAGAGCAGAGCTGATTATACCAGATTAAAGGATTACAAATGTCACAAATTGATTTGATTAGGATTTTTTCTTAATAACAAGTCTGTAACACCCATATTATAACACACAGTTTTATCTAAGCCTGTCATGGTTTATTTTGGAACACAATTTGCTAAAAATAACCATAATCCTTTCTTCATATAGACATGGCTATGTAGTATCTCTTGTTTATCAATGATGCCTTACATTTCATCACACCATTTGAATTACTCATAGCACTATGCAAACATTAGCACGATTAACTGCAAATATCCAAAAAATAAAAGAAATAATATCGTTTACAAGTAAAATTATAAATACTGTATTTAAATGCTACCAGAGAAAATAAGTACCTAGTAGAAATTTAAATTCTCGGAGGCTGGGGATTTAGCTCAGCGGCGCAAGCAGGCAGTCCTGAGTTCGATGCCCGGTACCGATAAAAAGGAAAAAGACAAAAAAAAAAAAAAAAAAAAAAAATTTAAATTCTCACAAAAACTTGAAAGTAAATTTGAGAAATACTCAAGAAATTTCCTTAAAAGTAAATGCCCAAGATACAATAAAAACACTAAATTATATGCATCTTTGAAAATTTGCCCTTCCACAAAAGCTTGCAAAAATTGTTACAATTTTTTCAGAACTCTGGAAATTAAAGCCAAGCCTGATGGTGCACACCTGTAATCCCAGCACCCAGGAGGCTAAGGCAGGAGGATCCTTGTGAGTTCAAAACCAGCCTGGGCTACAAACTGAGCTTGAGGCCATCCTGTACTGCATAGCAAGACCCTATCTCAAGAAAAAAACTGGAAATTAACTAGTGACTTACAGACTTCACAAAAAGTGGCCGACTCTCAGTAAAAAATAGTGAACTTCTGTGTGCTTTGACACCAGTTTACAACGTATTTATAGCATAATACTGGTAGTAGAGATATCCACATGATCACTTTAATTGGGTGACATAAAAACATTTGATAAAATTCGTCTTTTCTTAAAAATATTCAAGTGAGAATAGAAATGAACTTAACCAGATGAAAGAACATCTAAAAAAAATCCACAGCCCACATGCTGGATGGTGAAAGGCTGAAAGCTTTCCCATCCATGTCTACTCAGCACTTCATTCAACACCAACCGAAAGCTTTAACTAGAGCAATTTTAAAAAATGAAGAAAAATAACAAGCATCTGTTCTGAAAAGGAGGAAGCACAGAAATCTCTGCTGTCAGGTGCCAGGAGCCTACACACATATGGCCCTACCCCATATGTACGCTGTTAGGGTTTGTGCCTAGATGCCCTCCCGAAGCCTCGTGGGTGAAGTGCTCGTGGGTGAGCTTGTGACGCTCGTCCACAGATTGGGCCACTGCTGAACTGGTAACTGAATGTGATTGGGGTGGTGAAGCCTGGTTGCAGAAGATAGGTCTTCGGGCGCATGGCCTGGAAGGATTTATCTCTCCATTGCCTTGCTTCCTGCCTGCCCTGCTGTGACCTGCTGTCTGCCAGGTCCACTGTCGTGCCACCCTGCCCTGGGACCAGCCAACTGCAGACTGAAACTTCTGCAGACCGAGCCAAAAGAAAACTTTCTCTCCTTAGCGTTGTGGGTGTCAGATAGTGTGTCTCAGTGACAAGTAACTAAGACATATGCCCAAACAAAAACTAGTAAAACTAATACGGTCAGCAAGTTACATAGTACAAAACCTACAGAATCCGTATTTAGAAATCTTTTGTTTGTTTGTCTTGCACTACTAGGGATTGAACCTATAGCCTTTACACTGAGCTACATCCCCAGACCTTTTTTATTTTTATTCGGAGACAGGGTTTTGCTAATTTCTACATTATCCAAGTTGAGCTAGAATTAGAGATCCTACTTCAGCTTCCCAGAGTGCCAGGATTACAGGCATATGCCACAATATCTGGTTTAAACAATGTATATTTCTATATGTTAACAGTAAACAATCTGAAAATGAAATTAATGGGGGGAAATCCTTATTTTTCCCATACTAACATCAAAATTGATAAAATCACCAAGGAATAAAATTGATCAAAGGAAAATGTACTGAAAGCTATAAACATTGTTGAAGAAAATAAAGATTCGAATAAATGGAAAGATTTCCTGTGTTTATGAGTTAAAAGATTTAGGATGTAAACACTTTCCACACTGATCCACATATTCAGTGCCAAACATATCAAAGTCCCAACTCCTTTTTTTTCTTTTTACAGAAACTGGTAAGCTAATCTTAAAATTCATATGGAAATAAGACCCAGAAGGGCCAAAAGAATATTGAAAATGGACAAAGTTGGAGGGCTCAGATTTCTTAATTTTTTTTTCCTGTACTGGGAATCGAGTTCAGGACCTTGCACTTGCCACGCAGGCACTATGCCACTGTGCTACATCCCCAGCTCTAATTTCTCTCTTTTTTTTTTTTTCAAATTTCTTAATTACAAAACTTATAAGTCTATATTAATCAAGTCAACATAGTACTGGTATAAAAATAAAGATATGGGTGGCCAGAATGGAACTGAGAGTCCAGAAATTAACACAATTGATTTTCTTGTTTTTTTGGGTTTTTTTTTTTTTTTTTTTTTTTGGTCTTTTTCATTTTTATCGGTACCAGGGATTGAACTCACAACAGCCTGATTGCAAGGCAGACGCTTATGCCACTGAGCTAAATCCTCAGCCCAACACAATTGATTTTCAACCATGGTGATTAAATCATTCATTTGGTAAAGAATGTTTTCAGCTAATGGTGTTGGTCACAGTTGGGTGTCTACATGCAGATGAATTAATCTGACCCCACTTCACAACATAAGCAGAAATTTAACTCAAACGCACTGAAGATATAATATTTTTTTGGGCTTTGAATTGGGTACTGTTTTCTTGACTATGGCATCAAAAACATAAACAATCAGAAAGTCTAAGTTGGATTTCATCAAATTAAAACTTATATAAGCTGTCAAATAGTAGGATTTACAATATTTGTAAATCCCTTATCTGGCAAGTGTCTTATACCCAAAATACATAAAATACTCATAATTCCACAATAAAAAGGCAAATGACCTAGTTTTTAAACTGGGCAAAGGATTTGAACAAACATTTTTCAAGGAAAATATACAAAAGCCAATATGCACACAAAAATACACTCAATATTAGTCATTTGAGAAATTCAAATTAAAACCCGCATGAGATGCATCTTCACACTCAGGATGGATATATATATTTTTTAATTTATGAAATGGAACTCTTAAATTGCTGCTAGGATGATAGGTGCAGCCATATTGGAAAACAGTTTACCCATTGCCCAAAAATGACACACAGTAACCGGGTGAGCTAGCAGTTCTATGCTTAGATACATAGCCAAGAGAAGTGAAAACATGCGTAAATTATTCCTATTAGTAGAAACAATGCAAATGTCCATCAGCTGTTGCATAAATTTTGTTCCACAAAAGGCAAATCCACAGAGATAGAACATAGCTTAATATAAAAAAGTAGATGTTTGCTTCTATGAGACTACTTTCTTAACACATCTTCTTTTTAAGGTCTGATTTAAAGAAGTAACTACAGTGACAGTAGACATTTTGGAAAGGGAAATTGTTCACACTGACTTTCTATACATCGCTAATAGGACTGCAACTATATCTAAAGTTTTCTTGGGGATTTGGGCTGATTTATTATGATAGCGTTACTCCACTATTTGAGCCCTTTTTCCAAAGCCATTTTGTGTGTTTTATAAAATATATATAAAAATTTTGTGGGAAAATATAAATCTTTAGAAAATTGAGGTAATTTTGTATAGGTAAGTAATTCAGTTTTATATATCATTTTTTTAGGTCAAGCAAATAAAGTAGCCAAAGAAGCTGCTAACCGATGGACTGGTATGTATGACAACATCGCTAACAGGTAGTTAAACATGCTCCACATGGAGAGCGTTATGAAATTCGGATACCTCAATACAGCTCTGTTCCAGAAAAGATATTTCCGGAAATGTGTGTGTTGCTCATGTTTTTGTATATGAAACTTTTTCAGTTACTTAGGGCTAGGATTTTGTTTAATCTTAGGATTCATTTTATAAAGATGTATTTTTATAAAACCAGTAATTGCTTCAAGTTTAACTTTTGTGTAACTTCTCTCATGATAAATCACTAGGACTAATCATTTAATTTTTGTATATATTAGTGAAAGTTTCATATGTGTTTTCATGTAAAATATACCTTTTCAAGTCTCATGGACTCCTGCAGATTAGTTTTCCTGAGAATACGAAGAACAGCCAAGGTTGGGCGAGGCCTTTTACATGGTCACAGGAGTGGGTGTTTGTGGCACGTTCTCGTTTCACATCCACAGAAAGCCCAAGAGGTGCACAGCCCTCATTTCCGACACCATGCTAAGCCCCCTGAGGCCAAGGCCACACAGGCCAGGCCGTGGAACAGGAATGAAACCCGCTTCTGCATCTCCAGAGCCCAGCTCTTACCCATGCTCTGTGCTGTCCTCTGTTGACCCACTGGCCTGCAGATGCCACTGTATTAAACCATTCATTAACAAGAGTGCTGTCAGATCCACCCCAGAGATGTTGGAAGAAAGAAGAATTAATAAGGCATTGAGTATGTGGCTTAGGATCAGAAAAAAGTTAAAAAATAATGATTACAGTGAGTTACATGGAAGTGTGATTAGTACTGTTAAAACCTGCCAGAAATCTATACTGGTGTTTTTCAGTATTATAAAATAATGGTAATTGAATCGTCCCATTCTGGTGAGTCTGTGAAGCCTTCAGATGGATTAGGCATCATCACTGTGCTTGTGTGGGAGAATACAAAGGAGGCAGAAACAGAGAGGTAAAGTCTACCATGAGGTTGTTGCAAGGAATTGGCCCCTGGAAGGGCAGGTTTTTGGGGCCGTTTTTCTGATGCCCTGTCCAGGCCTGTGTTTCACAAAGAACTTAAAATCATTTTCTCCTAGTCTACTTTAGAATTAAACACACTGCGAAAATCAAAATCAGTTGGCCTTGTCCCCCAACTTGCCATCTTACAGATTATGATCTTAATTATTACAGTTTATTTCCTAGATAGTACAGTGCTTCAGTGCTAAGAACAGAGGCCGTGTCTGATGAGGTGCAAATAAGTGATGAGCAGCAGGTGTGAGGGATGGAGGAGCCAGTGCATCAGAGGTGTGTGTGCACGTGGGTGTTTGTGGGTGTGCAGGGAGTGTGGCTTTGAGGGGAGGCCAAGTGCAGCACCACGCCTGCCACGGGGCCCTATGAACTACTCTGTGCGGGGCACGGCCCCTGTCTTGCCTTGCAGGAGGGTGAAGCCCTGCAGGCTGTGAGCTCCCCCATGCAACATCAGACCTGCAGATGTGCTCTGCTTCCCCACGCCCCAGTTTATTATCCATTCCAGGTGATAAATAAGCAATTGCATTGTTTTTCAATTCATCAAAAACTCCCCCAGTTGGCATAACGCCCCAGCCTCAGCCCCACTCCATGTTCTTAGCTGTGGAAGGACCTGGAACTTTTTAAAGCCTGTGGAAGGAAGATATTTTTAGAATAGCAGAAACAGCTGAGAAGAACTGTATTTCCATTTGAGCTTACAACTTAGTCTTTCGAGGATAAACACATGTTGTGAAAAATGAAGACAAGAGATACAGCGGATGACAACTCAGAAAAACTCCCTGTCTCTAAAACAAAAACTAAAATACCAGTATGACTTTTAACTAAAGATCATCATATAGCTATTGGTTAAGGGTTGATTTTTCTTTGTATCACAGAGCCCATAAAATGTGTCTAGAGTCGAGAATATTTATTGTTTAATAATTCAGTGTCTCAGTTTTATAGAATGAGAAATCACCTCAGGATATGAATACAGAAGTAGGACATTAAATGTTTTCTGACATTTAGTACAAGTTAAATGCAATTTAACAAATTACATGAAACCTTAAAGTGATGCAGGTGTGTGTTGTGCTGTGTGGCAGTGCTAAGCAACCTGGGTCTTGCTGCTGGGCATTACCATCCCGCTGCTGCCCGTGTGGCCAAGTTTAATAAACCTGTGAGCCGCGTCTTAATGATGTGTGGGGCACGGATGCCATGAGCTGCCCACGTGGGCTCATCACAAATGATAGGGACCAGCACAGCTGTGTAAGTCAGAAGGAATTCTACCTGTCTGAGTGTTGTTTCTATAAAAACAAAATTATTGGGGCTGGGGATTTAGCTCAGCGGCATAAGCACCTGCTTTGTAAGCAGGCGGTCGTGAGTTCGATCCCCAGGACCAGAAAAAAGGAAAAAATAACATTATCCTGTATACCTTTATAAGAACGTCTGTGTAGCAAGAAGACCATCTGGTAGTGAATGGACTGGCAAGCCTGTGGCTCACGTTACGTGGCACAAGACCTCCCATGGCCCAAAAATATTTGATCCTGAATGGTCTGTTGGGGGTGTTGCACAAACGCTTGTAACTGTCAGTGCCTTTGTGCATTTTAAAGCTTCGGGATGTTTGTGATAAGATGCTTCCTTGTCTTTACATGAACCAGATACTACTCCTCGCAGAGGCTGCTGTATGGCCTCAGCAGGTGCCTCATTCCTTCTGAACCAGGTGCAAAGTCTCTGCCCTGCACACTTGCAGCAGTGTCACCTGAGGTCTGTTGTTTCCTACAAATCTTTTTGTATTCACTGAGCCTATGCTGAAAGCTGTGCTTGTGATGCTTGGTCTCTGTAACACGTCAGTTCAGAATTGTTTGGTAGTAAGGTAGTGATATCCCTCCCTCTTTCTGTGTCTCTGTCTGTCTGTCTTGTCTGCCTGGCTGTGGCACTCTCTCCCCCCACCCCACCCACCCTTTCTCAGTAGCTTGGAGGCATAGGTCTGTTACCTTCTGGGACACCTGTGATGCACTCTTGCCTGCTGGAGCAGTGAGCCTTGGAGCACCCGTCCAGGATTGGCAAGACTGCTGACTGTGCAGATGCTGCCAAAACTAAACACGGTGCTGGGGTCCTCACGTGATCATTTTAGAATTCTCATTAGGGGGATGAAGATTTCTTTGGAATTGTTACAAAGAGTAAAGATACATTTTAGCATCTTTTGACATCCCATAAGTCTTTAATAGAAACAATATTTCATTAGTCATATGTATTCTACTTGAGGCGGTAACATACACTAGAAATAAACATAACTCTGGGAACATCACTACTAGAGGCTTGGAATTAGACTTCCTTACAAACAATAGATTAAAGAATGGCCAAAGTCTCTGTACTCACTCAGGGGAGACACCAGAGCAAAGTGCCACAGAGTCATTTAAAATGACAGAAATGTATTTCGTCTGCGTGCCATCTAATTCAGTGCAAACTGGAGATGTAAGGATGCTTTGTGTGTGTCGAAGCCCCTCCCGGCCTGCTGGGGTGGTTTCCTCCTGTGTCCTCTCACATCCTCAGTCCTCAGACTTCTGTGCAGACCCCATTCAGATCAGACTAGGGCCCATCCTGGTCACCCCCTGCTAAGCTCATCACATCGTTCAGCACTGTATCTGGTGTAGTCCCACGCCTGGGGTAGGGCTGGAGTAGGCCTGGGGTAGAGCTCCAGCCTATGAGCAGGGACACCACCTATGCCACCCTAGAGCTCTCTGCTTCATTATCACTGCTGCCGTGCCACAGGGTACCCCAACAAGCCAGGAAACCTCCTACCCTTACGTTTTTGTGTGCATAGTTCATTTTCTTTATAAAAGCTATACAGCCAGGGGTAGTGATGCATGCTGAGATTCCCATCAATCTGGGAGGCTGAAGCAGGAAGATCACAAGTTGGAGCCCTGACTAGGAAATTTAGCAACTTTGAAAGAGCCTATCTCAAAACAAATAAAAAACTTAGAAGTGCTGGGATGCAGTTCAGTGAAGATTTTTGAGTTAGGTCCCCGTTCAAAAAGGAAAAAATAAGATGAAGGTTGTGTATGTACCTGCAAGCAGGGTGTGGAAGTGAGAACCTCCTGTGCCATTGCTGAGCCCTGGCGCACTGTGACTGGGGCGGGGGCGGGGGGGGCGCCTCTATACCAACACTGCATCGTCCCTTCCCTGTGTACGGACGTAGGGGTGGGGTTTGTTATGTTTTTTTCTATTACGAAAAAAAGATAAAGATCTGGATCAGAAACCTGTGCACAATTTGTTTTCTTTCCTTGGGATAAATTCCTTTAAGTAGACAATGCTTTTTCAGTGGCAAATGCATTTTGGGGGCACAGTGACATGCCTGCTCCTGTCTCAGTCTTAGGAGACTCTTTCCAGCTGCGGCGGGAACCCTTGCCCTCCAGGCGGAGAGGACACATTCCCTTTGGGAACAAGAGACCCTACTGCTAGGGCAAGAGTCAGGCCTGGGAGTAGGGGAGATGCAGAAAAGATACCATTAACTGCATGCCCCTGCCATTGTGAACTCTTCAGGTAGGCTGCTTTTATCTATAGTAATTGCCATCACTGTTGAAAATAGAGGGCCAGAAGAGTAGCTCACAGCATAACACCGGCCTGGCAAGCACAAGGCCCTGAATTCAATTCCTGGTGCCAAAAAGAAAGAAAATAGAGAACATGTTTTCATACAGCTGAGAGTAAGGTAAATAAACTGCGGATGCTTACATTTGAAGTATTTTATGATTGTTTTCAATACTCAAAAATATTTTTCTGTTTCTTATAGATAATATCTTTGCAATAAAATCTTGGGCCAAAAGAAAATTTGGATTTGAAGAAAATAAAATTGATAAAAATTTTGGAATTCCAGAAGACTTTGACTACATAGACTGAAATGTGTGATGGTGGAGAAGGCTCTTCGAGCTTGTAAATATGTAAATTCTAAAATATTACCTCACTGACAGTGAACTGTCATTGCCCTGTAACTGTTTGTTGGTTTATTGATTCTAAATAAAGAATAAACCACAGGTCTTCTTCAGCTTTTTTACCAAAAAGGGAAAAAAGAAAGCAGGCTGATCGCCACATTCCCACAGTGCTGCTCAGAGAGGGAACGCAAGCAGCAGCCCCTGGGCCAGGCAGTGCCGCAGGTGATGGTTTTCAGAATCACTGCTGTGACGCAATACATGTTTAGTTTCAGGAAACACGAAGGGTGCGTTTGAGGGCTGTGTGCACACATACACGCATTAATACTTGGAAATAACCTTGAAAGCCCTAACAGCTGCATTACTCTTCCCCAGTATTTGGTGGGAAATGTGTGTGACTGATACTCAGTACACTGCATCATATTTGCAAATTTCCAAAAGAAAAGAAAAACAAAAATTTTCAAATTTAGAATTAAATAACCCCTCAGGGGCTGGGGATTTAGCTCAGTGGCTCAGCAAGTGCTTGGTAGGCATGAGGTCATGAGTTCAATCACCAGTACAAAAAAAAAGAATCTCTCAGACAGGAAGGCTGCTTTCTTTTGAGGTTTTTTTTTTTGGGGGGGGGGTAACCCAGGATCGAACTCACAACTATGCTTACAAGGCAGGCGCTTACGCTGCTGAGCTAAATACTCAGCACTCCTTTGAGTTTTCTATGGGAAAGAGCGTGCATACAGATTTTGTCCCAATTTATGTGCTTTTTATAATTGGTATAATTGTGTTCAGATAGCTCACTTCAACTGTATGGAATTCTGGGATTTTTTAAAAACACTTGTTTAAGCTGGCTTGGTGGTACATGCCTGTGACCCCAGCACTCAGGGGGCTGAGGCTGGAGGATTGTTGCAAGTTTGAGACCAGCCTGGGCTACAAAGTGAGTGCAAGGCCACCTTGAACTGCATAGGGAGACCATGTCTCTAAAAGATCAAAAAAAAAAAAAAAAATACTAGAAAAAAGGAATAGATTAAAAATAACATGTACCCTATGTATTTTTCACCAATTAGTCATTTAAAGTATTTTCAGGCACTCCAAAATAAATTTAAAGAAAAAATACCTATTAAAATGGTAGTGGCCTTTGGATCCATGCCATTATTTTTCTCACACTGTCCAGTTTTGATGTTATTTTACAGGACTTGAGTGAAAGACTCCGTATGTCTGAAATGACCCAAGAGGCATCTGAGCCCAGTGCTGGTTGGTGAGTGGGGCCTTTGTTCCAGGGAGGTGCCACTTAATCACTTCCTGGTGTGGCAGGCACAGATCGACCCATCTTTGTTCCTGGGTCCAGTTTACATCGCCTTCAGGCAGCTGCTCTTCTCACAGAAGTATCTGGTGTAAGAGACAAGGGACAAAACACACTGGTTCTTTCCTTAAAATACTAACTGGGAATTCTAAAATGTCTCGGACTTCGTTTTGCTATTTATTAGAAAACATGCTTCCTTATTTAAAAATAATGTATGTCCAAAAAAGAAGTCATGGGCTGGGGATATAGCTCAGTGGCACAGCACCTGCCTGGCCAGCTTGAGGTCCTGAGTTCAAGTCTCAGTACCAAAAAAATAAGGTCATGTTGCCAGGTGCAGTGGAACACATACCAGTACTTCCAGCTACTCTGGAAGCTAAGGTAGGAGGATTGGAAATGTGAAGCTAGCTTGGACAACTTAGCAAAACAATGTCTCAAGGACTTAGAATGTGGCTGCTAGAGTACCACTGGTTTCCACCTCTAGTACTAAAAAAAAAAAATTTTTTTTATAAACCCTAAAATCCTGTTGTGTAAATTCCAGCAGCTTTTTTGGTTTTGTAAGCTGAGGCTCTGTAGATAGGCACAAGAAGACAGTAAGGTCTACACGTGAGCTGACTGGACAAGTCATGCCCTGTTCTTGGGTCAGTAATGTGAATAAAGCGACTCCCAGGAGAAGCGGGAGGCTGGTTGAGTGTTTGTGCCTCTTCATGGTGTAAACTCCCAGCAGATCCAGTGTCCTGTTGCTGGTGTTGACAATGGTGCAGAGGGGAAGAGAGGTGTGGTGTTACACCTTTACACCGTGTGTCCACAGTACAGACACAGTAGACACAAGTAATCTCTAGGGCGCAAGTTGTAATAAAAGACAGTATGCTAATTAGGGAATGATGCATTTTCATCTTTATTACTTCCGTTTTTAATATAATGCCCACCACAGTTTGTAAACAGTCTTTCAGGATGACTGATCAACAGCTACCTTGAGGTTAAAACAATTGTTTTTTCTACTCTAGCACACGAGTGCTGGGAGAGGCTGGGGATTGAACCCAGGGCCTTGTCCGTGCTAGTCTTGGAGCTCCGTACCATGGAGCTCCCCCGGTCCACTGGCATTCTTTTTTTTTTTTTTTTTTTTTTTTTTTTTTTTTTGTCTTTTTCATTTTTATCGGTACCAGAGATCGAACTCACAACTGCCTGCTTGCAAGGCAGGTGCTTATGCCACTGAGCTAAATCCCCAGCCCCTACTGGCATTCATCTTGAAGGTTGGCTTTTGATTTTTGCTCCCCACTAGAATCAGAGATACTGACAAAGCAGCCCTGGAGCTTTGGTCCAGCCATCTGCTAGGTGTTCCTTAGTCTTATGCTGGTTTTGTTGCTGATCCAAGGATTTGTGTGGTATGAGTTGGGTAGATTTAGAGGCATCTTTCCGGGGATCTGGGACTACATGTAACTGGGTAAGGCACACTACCATTGATGCCAGTATCTTTCAATGAGTTATGGAGTTTAAAAGGTGTTTCCATCTGATCAAACTCCTTCACGTGTAATTATTTTTTAAGTCTGAGAAATCTGTCTTTTTTTTTTTTTTTTTTTTTTTTTTTTAATATCGGTACCGAGGATCGAATTCACGACCCCCTGCTTGTAAGGCAGGTGCTTATGCTGCTGAGCTAAATCCCCAGCCCCCAATCTGTCCTCATTTTAAGAGGTTCTAACAAAAAAGACTTTACTGTATCCTAGTAAATAAATTTCACAGTTGTCCTGGACCGCATCAAATCCCTGAGGTGTCCTGTCTCAGGCTGGGCCAGAACCAAAGCATGCTGTCCTGGGTGAGTTGGCCGTGACTTTCCCTGAGATGTTTGCCACTTCACTAGGCTACTGAGAGCTCTTGGCTATCGTAGAAGTATGTGCTGTCGTCCTGGGCTTCATCAGACATTTCCTCCAGTGAGCAGAGAAGGAAGGAAAAGGGTATGGAGGAACATCCAGGGACAAGAACTGCCCTTAGTAATTCTCAAGCAGAAATTAACTTATAGTAAGTCTGATGCTGCTGCTCTTTGAGAACAGGACTGGATTAAGATGTCAAGAAGCTGTTTCTCTGATGTTAGGGTATCATTTGTGAGAGCAGTCCAACGTGGCAGATGGCAGATCCTGTCAGAATCAGGCGTACACTCGTCTCTTGTTTCCAGGATATTGTTTGCATGCCAGTAGGACTGCGTGGCTACGTTGGGAAAGGACCTCCCCCGTGATTTACATATAGTATACACATCCCTGCCTGATTTCAAAAAGATTGTGAAGATGGAAATGAGACAGAATGTCTGCCTTCTAAAATTAAATGTCAAGGCGGATGATTTCTGTTAACCAAAATTAATGAAGCTCCTCTTCCCCCAAAGGTCAAATCCAAAACCTGTGTTTTACTGTCTTGAATGATGTCAAAATAGAAGATGAGCAGGCCCCACTGTCGCCTACAAAGCCAAAATATTTACTATCAGACCCTTTAAAAGCTCGCCCACATCTGAGAAGTCAAACCCTGACATTCTGAGAGGGATCAGGTCTGCAAGATGCTTTCTTTTGCCCAAACTATATTTGCTTTGTAAGCTAGTTGCCAACAAATTCAGATTATGAAGTGTCACGGTGAACTTGAGATTTCCAGCTTGTTTTGGGGTCTGGTTGAGGCAGCTGCTCTAACTGCCTGAGTAGTGATGGCTCTTAGCACCCTCCAGGCCAGGTGATTCCTCAGAAGCAGCCAGCATACAGCTTCTAGCTTAAGTCAGAGCATTTCCTCCAGGCTGGCTGCCTTGAAGTTGGACTGTAATTTGTTTTTCTGTTTCCAGAAAAAAAAATCTTGTCATTTTATGTTAAATTTATAAATTAGCTTAGGGAGAAACTCTGATCTTAAGGGTGAAACATTCTATCCAAGAACAAGGTCATTTTTTTCATTTGCTCAACTATACTTTCGTATTTTTACACCAGTAATTTTGTCTTTTCCTTCACATAGGTTTTTCACATTTCTTAAGTCTACCCTAAATATTTTGTTGCTGTTGCTGTTCCAAAAGAAGTTTTCTCTTCCATTTTATATGCTAGCATTATTTGTGTACTTGAAGGCTACTGACTTTATGTATTATATATATATTTGAGATACAAGTGTTCTACCATGGAGCTACACCCTAGCCTCTGCATATTTTATATCCTGCTACCTTAGTCCATTTTTTGTTATAATTTGAGTGCCACAGGCTGGGTACTTTATAAAGAATAGAGGTTTGCCAGCCACAGTGACTTGAGCTTGTAACCCCAATTGCTAGAGAGGCTGAGGCAGAAGGGTCAGGAGGCTTAGCCTAGTCTGCGACCTCAAAACAGATAATGAAGAGAATAGGGGATGTAGCTATGGTGTCCTGGGGCAGGGAGAGGTGGAGAATAGAGGCTTATTTTGTTCACAGTTCTGGTGACATAGAGGTACCAGAGCGCTGGTCCAGTGCTAGAGGTGCCCTGAGACTGAGTTTGCGCTGTGCTCAGCTCTGGTCACTGCCCTTCTCATCGGGTCACCAAGCCGGTGGTGGGGGGACAGGGGCACCCTTGCCAGCTGTTTCCCTAAGGTCCCCACATCCAAACACCTTTAATCTACAATGTGAGGATTAACAAACTTTGGGGGGGGACGCATTCAGACTACAGTACTTCTAAAGTCTCTCTGCTTCAGGTTGTTTATAATTAATTGTCTGAGTGGTTCCTGGTGTGCTTCATAGTATCTTCGGATAGATAATGGTTTTAATGCTTGTTTTTTCCCTCTCGTCCACTTGCAATTTGTAAAGCTGTTGTGAGAGCTGAGGGTGCCCTTGTCTTTGGTAGGAAACC